TGGCTCGCCGCCCTGACCCCATCTGGCCTCGTTTCCCAGCAGTGGTGTCCTACTGGAACAAGGCTGCAGCCGGACCTGGTAAGCTGAAGGCGCCCGTCTCCACCTTCGCTCCCATCACCAGAGTGGAGGGGTTTATTGAGCGGAGCTTTCCCCCCGTCCCCCCCCCCCCCCACTGGAGCCAAGTCTGGCGGAAGCACTTGGAGTAAAAGTTTCCAAGTTGGACCAATGTCCTGTCCCTCCAGGGAGACACGACCAAACGGTGATGTTGCTCTCCAACCGAGCCCACCAGTGTGCTTTCCAGGTGGCCGCAGCGAACAACAACGTCGTCCTGCTGGCTTACAGCATTTCCAAAAGGTTGGAGGACACAGACCTGCCTGAGGAGATGAAGAGCTCGCTCTGCAAAGCGTCTGACGTCATCCTGAACTTGTGCACCTCCTCTGCGGTCTGCTTGGCTTGCATCGCCGCCTGGATAATGATGATCCAGTGGTCCACCTGGCTCCGACTCTCCCCATCCATGCCCCATCACGACAGATGCGCTGTTCGGGGCCAATTTCAAGGCCATGCCTGAGAAGTCAAAGAAGTCAGAGGAGGTGTCAGAAACGGTGCGCCACCTGATGAAGCCACAGCCACTGGCTGTGTGAGGCCATTTCTGAAGCTTACAGAGCATCTGGATTGGAGCCTCCAGAGAATCTCAGAGCTCATTCTACCAGAGGGATTTCATCCTCTACAGCATTGCATGGAGGGATGACAGTGGAGGACGTTTGTACGGTCATCGCCTTGTTCATTTATTCGCTTTTATCTGCGTGATGTTTCCGCTTTCTCCATGACCCATTCTGTTCTCAGTGTTCTAACAGAATGAATTTTACTTGTTTCATGGAATTTCGTTTTAAACTCACATCTGACTGCATGCAATTACAGTGTGAGACATTTATTATCAGTCACAAGTTCATGACTGCTGTTTTTATTATTACTAATCAGTTCATGACTATTGTTACCAATCAGTTCATTTGATTACTAATCAGTTCATTTGTTATTAATCAGTTCCTATTGAAGAGCGGTTGACCTGCTCTGCTCACTGTTACACGGTTACAATTCGCAACCTCTGTTCTTTTCCATTCTCAGCAGCAGGACTGCGTTTCAGCCTCCCCTTTTTTCCCCATCGGAGACCTTTTCTCTCTGGGGCGCTCCTGTGCACAGAAGGCTGAGTTGATTAAATGTTTTTGGGTGCAAGTGGGTGCTTCATATTGTGTCTGAATGGACCCAGTGAGGCATAGACTACATCCTGCTTCGCCTTTAACCCACTAGCAATAGCCTTAAAGGGCGAAGCCTATACGAAATAGAACGTTGGTTACGTACTGTAACCCCAGATTCTATGAGTATAGGCGCAGCCCTTTAAGCTCTGGGCCTCACTGGTTCCTAAATGGCTGAAGAAAAAAGCTATTTGGGAGCCGATTACCCGGTCTCACCGTAATTTATACAGAACGGGGGTGAGGCCCACACAGCAGGTGGGCGGGGACTTAAGTTTTCAGTGCTGCGCGCGAAGGGATAAACCCACTAGCGATAGCCTTAAAGGGCTGTGCCTATACTCATAGAATCTGGGGTTACAGTACGTAACCAACTATTTTGATGTCAGTTAAGCAATGGGTGAGGGTGGAGTGAATATTGAGGTTTATGGATATAGTAGAAAGCTAAATCTGTATGTCATCATCATATAGCAGTGAAAATGCCATGACGACATATGATATTACCAAGGGGGAGGATGTAGAGGTTGAAAAAGAGAGGACCAAGCACTGAACCTTGGGGAACACCCTGGTATAGAGGGGTTATAGAGGAGGAGCCACACTTGATATGAATAAACTGTTGCCCGTCTGTGAGGTAGGACTGAAACCAGGACAGAGTGGAGTCAGTGATGTTCAGGTTGGACTTGAGACAGACGACGGGACAGGAGGATGGAATGACTGAGGGTGTCAAAAGCTGCAGTGAGGTCCAGGAGGATGAGGATATTTATCTGGCCAGAATCAGAGGAAAGGAAGAGATTGTTGGTAACTATGAGAAGAGCTGTAATAGGTACATGTGTGAACATGACGAATCCAAGCAGCGTACGGTTTCATTTCTACAGTACAAGACTCTGTATAGTTAAAAGGCTTTTATGCTTTTTAACTTTTATACCAGTGAAAATATAACAGATTCATAATACTTAATTAAATTTATCGTACAAAGTTCAAGGAACTAGTTCCTCCTGGATTTTAAAGGGAAATCTCAATGGCATTTACTCCACAACTAAACTGCAAATTTAATAAACCAACCCGTGTGGTCAGATCAGCAATGAACAATGCTTTTGTTCTGAAGGAGTTTCTGAAAAATGCAGTCATTATGTAAACCTCCTGCTGCCGTTGTTCAAAATGACCCAGGGGGGCCTCGGTTTTAAAACTGAGGCCTCCCTGGGTCATTTTAACCCAAGGGCAGGAGGGCTGAGCCTGGAGCAGTGTTGTCTTTCTGAAAGGGTGTTCCAAGAAACCGCCCTGCATAAAAACAGATCAGTCAAACAGGTTTGACGAAGCCGTGGCTCGGTTCAACTAAAGTTAAGCAACAGTGTTTGAAAAGCATTTAGCAGTTTTATATATTAAGGTTCTACGTGCCAAGAAGTAATTAAAAAGTCTACACGATGGTTCAAAATTAGGCCAGTACAACCTGATCAACAACACACTACAATTTTTAAAGTGCCCTATTCACCTTACAAAAAATAAATAAAACAACACATTTAACCTTTCAAGTAAAGTCACATTTTTAAATGCAATAAAATGTCGAAGTAACTTGTGACATAGCTATGTGACACACTTTTGTTTGTTTCTAGTGTAATTTTTGAACATTTTCAACACGTGAAAAACACGTTCAAGTCATGTGGTGTTTCTGTCAGCCTGTTTGACAAAAACTAAATCAAACTTCAGAAGCAGAGTGAAACAGTAAGAAATAAGAAGGCACGTGGAAGTTGCACAAGGTGTTGCAATGAGCCACTTTGAAGATGTGTACAAATAAAGGTGTGCAAAACTTCATAAAATAAGACAAAGTTTTAATTTCCTTCCCAACAACAAACAGGAAAATCCATCCATCCATTATCTTTTACCTGCTTCTTCCATGTTGGGTCACGGGGGTCGCCGGTGCCCATGTCCGGCAATCATTATGCGAGGGGCGGGGTACACCCTGGACAGGTCTCCAGTCCATCACAGGGACACATAGACAAACAAGACAAAAAAACATTCACTCTCTCACCTAGGGACAATTTAGAGTTACCAATCAGCCTAACATGCATGTTTTTGGTCTGTGGGAGGAAACTGGAGCACCTGGAGAAAACCCACGCATGCACAGAGAAACCATGCAAACTCCACCCAGAAAGGCCACCGGACCGGGATTTGAACCAGGGACCTGCGCGCTGAGAGGCAGCAGCTCTACCAGTTGTGCCACCGTGCTGCCCCAAACAGGAAAATGATCCCTTCAAATGATTGTTGCAGACTTCTGATTTGTGCAACTAAATATGGTTTTTACACTCCTGCATTTTAGATGAATTAAATATGAATAAAGTTCAAACTGTTCTGTGTTGCTGTTTATCTGAAGTTGCACTGAGCTCATTTTATATCTTGATAAAGAGTCAGACTAACAAAGACGATCCTCTATGTAGTGAGGAGTGATCAATCTGCATTATGCAAGCTTACAGAACATGTCAGCTTTATAACTTGAACCCCACACTCCCTGTTTCTGTGAGTTCAGAAAGCTCCTCGGATGAGAAGCGAAACGTCTTCAGCTACAGGAGTCCAGCTGTTTGTGCTTTTAATCTTGTTTGGAGTTACCATGTCCTGGATGACAGAATCTTCACCAGCATCTTGATAAGGAGCATGTTTGTTTGTTATTTTCATGCTGACAGACAAAACACTGGATATGAAAGAGGCAGTGCTCATTTTTTCTTTCTTTTTAAAATCTTGATAAGAGTTATTGCTACACTCGATAAAATGAGTGAGCACCAGTTACAAGGAAATATAGTAAGTCACATCCTTCCACCCTGCTTCACTGCAATCCCCAACCCCTCATATCCACACACACTCTGATAAAAAGCATCAGTGGTAAAACAGGTAGAATCAGAAGGCCTGTGTTCAGAGCGTTGATGGACATCCAGCTTATTGCAGCTGTCATGTTCTTTCGGCTGCTCTCTTCTGCAGGGCTTGTCCCAGTAAGAGAACTCACACAAAAGATTTGTCAATAGTTTCACACTGAATGCATTTCCTGATGCAAACTGGGCTCAAACCTTCATGGTTGCATAACCACAGCGCTGACCAGTGAGCTACAGAAGCCCCAGCGCAGTTGTAACAAAAGTGAAAAAGTCCTGCTGCAATAGGATGGCCTCTTATAGAAGACATCATCAGTAAAATTATTTCCAGTGTGACTCAATGACTTCCTTGTAATTGCTTTCATTGACTGTAAACAGTCGTAACATTTAATGAACAGTTTTATAAGTATGGAGCGGTTTGTTAAACATCAGCTGATCAACACGTTTACCTCTCCTGCTTATTTGAACTCAGTTTGGAACCAGTGCACAAGTTTAAATCCATTTTTAATCAAGATCATTTGAAATTAATTAGTTTACAGACAACCAAAGCTGCTCCAATTAAAGCATATTTTGATGTTCTTTGACCCCAGCTGGGTGCGCTAAGTTTGGGTGCTACCAGAACCAAACCTTCCAAGCAATGATGCTGAGATGACCACTTCATGCACACCCAGTGGGCAATGATGCCTCTCTGCTCCACAGAAAGACACCGTGGTCAGAAAGACGGTACTGGACGTGCTGAGTGGGTTTGATTCTGTGTAAAATGCTCGTATTACCACACAGACAAAGCTTTCAGAAGTTCAATAGTTTTATTCTTCAGAGTTCAGGTAAAAGACAATAAATGTTCATCATACATGCTCATATTTACACACAAACACTAAATTACAAAATGATATCTGACTTAAAAAAACAAAACATTGTAGAACATTATAAGTTTGCTACAAAAAATCAACTTCATTGAGAACAGGATGAAACAGAGATCTTCACAGCGGTTAGAATTCAACACAAGTACATATTGCACACATTAATAAATACATTATATAAAAATACTTGTTTTGTGTCTGAGAATTGCTTAAAAGTGGCTCATAGTGCACAAAGCAGGGAACTGCAACAACTTCTCCTGGGTCAGATGAGGTGGGTCATTTGGGACGTTACTGACACCAGAGGATCAGGGGTCAGCATTAAGGTGAGTTGGAGGAAGCCCCAGGTGTCTTCTGTTCATGGCCTAAAGTGCTGTGGGTTGAGGTAGACATAGGGGGACCAAGAGCTCATCTCCTGATCCTCCTCATCCTCCCTTGTCTCCTCGTCTACACTGTACCCCTCCACCCCGTCTTCATCTGAGCTCAGCCTGCCATCGCTGTTCCCTCGCTCACGAATCGTGTCAGGGGCCACTAACTCTTGGTCCACAAGCTCCTTGTGACACTGTTTGCAGATTCTGACCGGCTTCGTTGGGTGGATGTGCTCGATCACCACTCGGTTCTTGGAGCACGCCCCGCAGACCAAGTAGCCGCAGCTCCTGCAGTGGTGTCGACGATGGGCCATCGTGAACTTGAAGGAGCAGCGCATGCAGGAGTGGGAGGAGTCATCCGGGACCCAGGTGACGGCAAAGTTGGACCCGAGGATGTGGTTGCCGCTCTGCAGAAGTTTGGACTGACAGTCTGTCATGTGCTCAATCCACGCTTGCTTCTCCTCTTGGCAGGCGGCTGCCACGAAGAAGGACTTGCGTGGTGTGCGGATCAGCCACTGGTTCCTGTCCTTGGATTCGTCCAGCTGGACGGCCTCTGAAATGATGACAGAGGGTTGTTACAAGAGCTGTTGAGAAGTTAGCTGCAGAAAAACCCTAAGACACTTCTGCAGAGCCAAATGAGACCACAAACATGAAAGCAAGAGCGTGTCTTGTCTTCGCAAATTTAGGCATTTTACAAGAGCAAGAGTTTCTCACCTAAAGGAATGATCTGCTGCTTAGTGTACCAGCGGCCATTCAGAATGATGCTGCCGTACACCAGTATGTCACTGAAGAGGAAGAACACTTTGGGCTGCTGGCCCCGGCGGCTCTGCTTCATCAGCTTGCCCTCTCCGATCAGAATCCGACCATCCTGGTACAGGGGCTTTCCCGCCGACCCGAACGAGCTCTCCACAGCCCGGATCCGCTCACGGTTCTCCTCAGCAAAAGTCAGCAGTGCCATGACCTCAACTTCAAACCAACAGGAGGAGTGTTCACACTACTGCAGTCAGAGGTCTTTCTGATTTCAGACGCCCTGCAGAGGTATTTATGCTTCCAGAACCTCGCTGACGAAACAGGGCTTGGGTTTCAAAGAAGGAAGGCTGTAATACAGACATTATGCAAACAAGGAGGAGCTGAGTGCTAAATTAGAATTCAAGCAGTTCTACATAAGAAACTCTCTCTGTTTCTAAGAAATACATGACTCTGCTGCAGACCAGACTGATCTTAAATCTGCACCCAGCTGAAAGCAGGACAACCCTGCACTCATGACTTTATACATTTTATGATTTGTGTAATTTTTTAATCTGTATCTCCAACTGCAAGTATAATTAAATAAAATATATAACTAAAAAGCAGAAGTCATTGCAGATTGGGAGGTGGTGACAGAATTGTTATTGCTTACTTAAAAAAAAACTATTAATTTTTTATTGGCTTTCCATTGTGAAAAACCAATCCTTTGGAAGTGTCAAAATTGATTGACAGCACTTTATGAAACATTTATATTAAATAGTAAAAAGGACACTAATCTTCACTGAACATGAACTTTTTTTCCCATTTAATTTTTTTTCATAAAACAGTTATGAACCAATTTGTTACATGGTGCTGAAACAAAACACTGTTTCTCCAGCATTTTATGGACAAAACCATCAATCAAACGATCCAACCAAATGTAGCTGAACTCCACAATCATGCAAACAAGACATAAAGTGATTTGCAAAGCAACGATGTGAGCCCAGATGACTTTAAAATGAACTTATATCATCATAATCATCATTCTGCATGCCAAACCTGCAGCACTTCTGCAACAGCAACTCTGATCACCGAGGACTTATTTTTTGTTTAAAAATGTAAAAAAATATGCCTTGTTGTTTCTGGAGCTGCTGACAAAAGCGCCTAACACATGCACACGGCTTTGTGCCAGAAAACACAGCAGAAACAGAAACCAGTAAATCTGGATGACTCGGTCTTTATCAGTGAAAACTGATCTGACAGAAACCTCCGCACACGCCTCCTTAACCACCTCAGGTAAATTCTGTTGCGTGCAAACCTTCTGAGGGCAAATGAGAACTTCTGTCAATAAAACCACAATCAGGTGCATCTCAGCAGTGTGCATAAGTGGCTTAACAACATGTTTTTCCCATCACTGGCAAACCTCACTGGGATTTGTTATTAAGAAGCAAGTTAAAATGTCCCAGTTTATCGTAAAGAAGCAAACGTCCTGCTCAAGGTGTGTGAAGCTGGAATTGTGATCTGTTAATAATTAGATTGACCTAATTTACTGTATAAACAAATTGGTAATTTGTTACAATGTACTGGGTTGGACTAAGGTAACTAAATTGAAATGAATTACACGTGACTTTCATATAATTGAAATAAAATGACTCTAACCAGATTTTAATTGGATTTAATTTGATCAAATCAAATTTACATAAAAAAAAACAAATGTTCTGCAAACAAAACAGTAATTATGAATAATAATAAAACTGTATGCATTCACCTTCTCAGTGTTTATGGTTGCTGAGTCTGTTCACAATGGAGCTCTAAAACCTTGATACAACAGTTTGTATGTCCGGGTGAGATGGTCCTCCTTGTCCATGTGTCGATTAAATCATTAGTACATATTTAAAAAGGCTGTGCTAGGTCTGCTCCCTTTCCATCTGCTCATCTATACGAACCATAAATTGACTGGAGATTATTCACTCCCAGGACTACTTATTGTCTGTACTACTTATTGTCTGTACTACTTATTGTCTGTACTACTTATTGTCTGTACCTAAAGTCCAAATGGAAAAAGGGGAGTCATGTCAGTTTGCCGCCTCGTCAAACTGGAAACAACTTCAGTCTAATCTAAAAATGAGCGAGCTAGTTTCATTAAGCGTATTTACAGGTCTTATAAACATTTTTGAGGAACAGATGTCAGACCGTTTTATCTGATATGAATACTTATATTTTGGTCATGTACAAATGCACCCTATTTTAAGATTTTTCTACCAGTTTATTTAATTTAAATGTCACTATTGTTATTAAGAGATTTTTACTAAGTGTTTTATCTGATGTGAATAGATGTTTTTTGTGTTATCCTATTTTAAGATATGGTTTATTTGATTACATTGTTGAATGTTATTGTTAAAGGGTTAGCTTATGAAATGTTGTGTTTTGTTGCCAGTTGTGCCCAGGGCACCCTTGTAAATGAGATTTTAAATCTCATTGAGTGTCTTCTAGTAAAATAAAGGATAAGCAATAATTACAATAAATAAATAAATAAAAAAGACAAAATAAAAAACATTCAATGGAGCAAACATGTCAACTCTTATGCTGTATTAAAAGCCAGTGAGTATGAATGTGTCTTAAAACTAAATTGTCTTAAAATTAGACAGAAAAACACACGAGTTGAAGTCTGTCTGATATGAAGGAGCAGCTGCTTCCACAGTTTAGGAGCTACAACTGAAAAGGCTCCATCACCTCAGTGAACCAGCCTGACCCTCAGGACCAGATGACCAGTGGTGGGATGTAACTAAGTAGTACTTTGTTACTGTACTTGAGTACAATTTTCATGTATCTGTACTTTACATAAGTAGAGTTAAACGTGGGTACTTTCGACTTTTACTCCACTACATTTGACATTTTCTGTACGTTCTACTACACTACATTTCTATCAGAGTCAGAGTCAGAGTTTCTTTATTGTCATTCGCACCTCATGTGGTACATGTGGTGGAGCGAAATTATGTACGCAGGGTCCCAGTTACATCCAACAATAAAATGTATAAGAAAAACAGTAATAACATCTAAGATATGAACTAAGAAAAACATCAACTAAATATACACTAAGCACTCATAACATAAAACATTGAACATCAGCACAAACATGAACATGAGTCTGTGAGCAGATGTGCACGCATGAACACATCAACATTGAAACAGATCAGCAGCAACATGAAACAGATCAGCAGCAACATGATATGGTTTTTCACAGTGATTATTCTAGTTAGAGATTCATGAGTCTAACAGCCTCAGGGTAGAAGCTGTTCCTCAGTCTAGTGGTTCTACACTTAATGCTCCTTAACCTCCTTCCTGAGGGGAGTGGGGCAAAAAGTGTGTGTGCTGGGTGGGTGGGGTCCTTCATGATGCAGGTGGCCCTCTTCCTGCATCTGGAGGTGTAGATGTCTGTGATGGTGGGGAGACTGATTCCAACAGATTTCTGTGCAGCCTTCACCACTCTCTGCAAAGCTTTTCTTTCTGCAGCTGTGCAGCCTCCATGCCACACATTGATGCTCGAGCACAGGATGCTCTCCACTGCACACCTGTAGAAGGAGGTGAGGACTGAGCTTCCCAGACCAGCTCGCCTCAGCCGTCTGAGGAAGTAGAGTCTCTGATGAGCTTTCTTGATCAGGCTGGTGGTGTTGTTGTTGTTGTTGTTGTTGACCACGTGGTCAACAGATGCTTCTATGGCTTCTATGACGTGCTTCTATGTGTTGCGTTACAAGTGTAGTGAACTAGGCCTCCGACCACAACCTGTCTCTGAAGACCTTTATGGGACAGGAACTGTTGTTTCATTGATTTGAATCCAGAAATACAAATGAGCTCATCAAGAGACTGTTTAATTGTATCCTGAATTAATCAATTGAAAGAACACTCTTCTTTTTGATAATCAAAGTGTGTTTACTTCATACCATTTCTAAATGTTGAAGTGAACCACTCATTTTAAATCAACTGTGAAACAGTATTAATGATTTTTAAACCTCATTAGAAATTAGAAATCAAGTTAAATGTCTATTTACAAAGTAATTATGCATTTTGATCTTCTGTCTGAATGAGAAGTAGTGATGTCGGTCGAAAGTCAGAGACAGTCAGAAAACGAGTTATTAGAACTAAGTGTATTGTTTTTAAACCTAGCAGACAGTAAATAACTTCAACTGGCATCTGCGTTTGTCTCACTTTGCCATAACATTTCTCTGTCTGTACTAAACGTTCCTAAACATTCCTGCAGCCTCTCTTGACTTTTAATAACCCTCTGACATCACTGAAACACCCCCCTGTTGGTTGTTTCAACCAATCAGGAAGTACCAAGTGACCGGAAGTGAGGACTCTTTAAAAGTCAACACTTCCTGGAACTAGTCAGTTTTTGACCGCAGTCTTCCTAGAGTCTTTCATGGAGTCTTCCACTTCTGAGTGGAATCTCTGACTATGGATGGAGTCACAGCGCCTCGCTGTGAACTCACCCGGGCGTAACGCCCTACAACTTCAAAGGAAGCTTGTTTGTTGAACGGAGTAAATCGCCACGACTTCTGACAATGACCAGCCGCTTTAACCGGAGACGCTGGAAAGGTAGCGTTGAAATAGGGACATCTATACCGGACCTGATCCTCATCTGCAAAAGTAAAGAGATGTCACGAGTGTCGCGCACTAAGTGTACCGGAGGGTTGAGCTGGTGTTGGAAGAAGCGTGCTAATTCTGGTCAACAACATACATCTTCCTCCATCCATTTTCTTTAAACTTCTCCATTCCTTCCTTTAAACTTTTCTATTTTGCCAGTAATCTATAGGTCCTTCTCAAAAAAATAGCATATTGTGATAAAGGTCATTATTTTCCATAATGTATTGATAAAAATGAAACCTTCATATATTTCAGATTCATTGCACACCAACTGAAATATTTCAGGTCTTTAATTGTTTTAATACTGATGATTATGGCATACAGCTCATGAAAACCCAAAATGCCTGTCCCAAAAAATTAGCATAT